GCAGCCACTGCACTTTGCCTGAACGTCCACACTTGACTGCAGAGAAGGCACCTGACACAACCTCCCTGTCTTCCCTTCTTTTGACCCTGGAATCTGTTTCCCTCCATGGTCTGTAAAATCCTAAGTCTACTCACTTTGAGGACACATTGAAAATCTCACCTAGGCTTTCAGGGATGGAGCAGGTGAGAAGGCGATTGATTTGCTAGAAGGGGGGCAGGTGGTTCAAAGACTGGAAATGATGGAGAGCAGTATGTGGAAGTTGCTTAACATTTCCCAACTTGGCTTAAGTTTTAGAGATTCAGAGAGGTTGGTGGGTAGCTGGAGTAGCAGTTTTTTGTAAAAAGCAATCCCACTGTTGTCTTAAACAAGAAAGTTACTCGCATGTTATGCCTGGGGGGCTGGCCTGAGGCACATAAGCCCCTAAGGAGAGTATGTACCTTTGAACACTGGGTCACACTAGGGCAATAACTGTGCTCTCTTTGCAGGCCCAGCGGAGGAATCGGTTCTGGGAGTTCATCGAGGAGAGGGAGAATAGTGACCCCTTTGAGAATGATGAGGATGAGGTTGTGACCTTTGAGCTCGGCGAGATGTTGCTCATGCTTTTGGCAGCTGGTGGTGACGATGAGCTGACAGACTCCGAGGACGAGTGGGACTTGTTTCACGATGAGCTAGAAGATTATTATGACTTGGATCTATAGCACCTGTCAGTGGAGTTTGGACTGTCTGCTCAGTTTCAGGCAGTAGCTATTTCCTGTGGTGTTGTGGCAGTGCCTGTGTTTCTCCTAGGCAGGCCTATCAATTCCAGGTGCTGTTGTAATAACTTTTACCCAGGGTCTGTCTCCTTCCCCTGCCCCAGGAGTGTTTGTTTTCTCTGTTTAAAACAAATAACAAGAAATAAATCTTTAAAATGTTAGTTTTTGTAAAATGAATTTAACTGTCAAACAGTTAGCTTAGGTTTGTTGCTTCATCTGTGTACCCAAGAGGATTCACCCAGTTCCAGGGTTAAAGTGTTTACAGGACTTCCACACTCATCTTGAAGAGCCCAGATACAAAAATGAGCAGTGACCATGTAGTGGGGGATGTAAATTGGCCAGTGGCCTTTTTCTGCTATGGACTTTGAATCGATACTTCAGGCCAGACATACGTACTTTTTTTCTGGCTTCAGCTCTGTTCCAGCCCCCTCATGTACACGTCTTCATTTGTGGTTTTGGTCTCTTGTTTACTTGCACATTACTATTACTACTGTGTAACCAGAACCAGGTGCAAATGTTCCGGGTTTTTACTGTATTTAGCATGAAAGGAAAATGTCTTTGTACGTGAAAGGAGAACTTTCTATGTGTATATACAAATAAATGCAGAGTTGGATCTCAAAGGCTGAGAGACTCTGTGTTCAAAAAAAGGAAAACAAAAAATACCTTTCATCCCCTTTTGGTGCATGAAGTCTTGCCTTCGATCGGATGTGAAAAGAGTTTAGTGGGCTCGGCCCAGTCTGTGACTGTGATCTAATACCATTGGATTGATAGTTGGTGCTACCTTAATGCACCAGCTCTCTCTACTGCATATTATGAGGGCTGGCTGAAAGTAGAAATGTGGCTAGCCAAAGAGGGATCTAAAAGTACTCTTTTTCCAGTAGAACACAAGCTGGGATCCTGTAGTTGCACTGTTCGCTCTTAAAATAAATTAATAATAATAATAATTATTTATGACATTGATAACCACATAAGCCATGAGCTTAACTAGGAAATAGCTGTGTTGCTTAGTTGGTTCAAGGCATGTGCGCCTCACATCACATTTGAGTTGTGCTGATTGCCTTGTAAAGCTGTTCAGCTTGTTGCAAGTTATTGCTTACAAAAAGAACTAGCAGCTATGCAATGTCAGGCTATATAATTCCACTGAGATGAGGTCATTTTGCCATCAAAGTCCCACTGCAACAATGCTAACCTTGCTGTTTCTGACTCATGGATGCCCTGTTCTCCTACTGCTCGTTCCCTAGACTGCCTCTCCTTTCACTTTTTAAGGTGGAATAAGAAATTGTTCCAAAGTCTCCAATGTATTGTTGTGCAGCTGCCTTTTGTAAGAAGCACTTTTCCCAAATAAAAAAAATTAAAGAAGTCTGTCTGTTCTTTATGCTCAAAGCCTCTAGACTTCAGCTTACTTTTTATCTACTCAATGCAAGCTAGTTTGATTTCTAACTGCTAAAGTCGTGTCATAGGTTTAATGTAGAATTTTGTTTTGGCTGCAGCCTTATACCAAATAAATTTTATCATATAAAAATATTTTAAGACTAAGGACAGCTGAGATTACCAAACTATCAAAGGATACATGGGCTTGGTGTTGAGAGAAAAGGGTGGGGGGAGGTGTCCATTCTTGAAACTAAGTTCTGAGACATGGACTCAGTTCTGCTTATTTCTGTATTTAATTGCATGATTTTGGTGCTTTTGGTGTCAGGGATTGGTAACTTACTTATGTATAATTTGAACTATATGCTGTAGTCCAGATAGCACATCACTAGAGGTTGAATGCTTCCTGGTAAAATGTATGCTGCTGTTTAATGGGCCTGTATATATTCTAAAGTACCATTCTCTTTGAGAATCAGATAAGAGATAATGAGATTGTCATGGAAATATATATGCATACCGTGAAGGAAGGGAAAGTGTGTACTCTTGAAACTAGATTTAGGCTAGTTGCGCATACAAGAAAAGATCTTAGAAGTGACTAGCAGAATGCAACAAACCAAGTAGAAGGAAATGAAAGATTTGGAAGTTTGTAAAATAAAAATTAAAAGTATCAAGAGGAATGGGAGGAAAGGAAGCTGGAAGTTCATGGGAAAGACAGAATAGAAGAAACAGGAATAAGTGCAGGGAGGATAATGGGAAGTTCAAGGAAATGAGGAACAGTGTTTATTGGAGAGAGTGAACCAAAGATACAGACTGATTTATTGTAGTCTTTACAGAAAGCTGGGTGCCAAAACATTTCTGAATACAAGCACAGTTGTGATTTAAGTACCAAGAAGAGATTCTTTAGGGCAAAGGGCTGAGATGGTGAGGTTGGATTGTGTGTGGAATAATGCTGCTTTTGTCTTCCTGAATCTTATGTATGTTTCTATACCTAATGGGAGGCACAAAAGTGTAGCTGGTTTGATTTAGTGTATAAACAAAATGTTGCTGCTGGCTCTGGACAAATTTACCTAGAACAGAATTCCAGACAGTACAACATAAACCTTTTTCTGACAAACTCTGCTTTATAAATGATGCTATTTTTTAATGCAGGAAATTTGCATCTGTGCCTTCTTACATTACCTGCCCTCCACTTGAACACGGCTGTCTGTGGTCCTGACTATTAAGAGCTAGACTTCTTCCATAAATGGTCTTGAATTTAACTGTGACTACTGTTATCAACAATGCAATAGTCCTGCTCCTTTAAATACAAGATGCACCCACATTTCCTGACTCTATTTGATGGCTATATTTCCCCCCTCCCCAGTAAAGACAATTTTACAGGGCTACTAGTGTGGTACACATAGAGCTTTTACTTTTGGGGGTGGGGGTTAATTCTAAAAATGCAGGCTTATTTTTAGAAGAAATAGTTCTCTTTTAAAAAATGACTTAACATTGAAGGAATGTGGACATTCAGATTTTGATATTTGCTGTGTATCCTCTGAGTCTAACATTTTTATTTTCCCTTTTTTTTTCATGGTGCAGACATTGAAAGGCAATAAATTTTAAAATGGTAAAAACATAAGTGGCAACAATTACCATATGGAATTAAGATATCATATTTTCCTAAAGTTTAAAATCCAGAAAAGGAGAAAACTGATATTCATGGTGTGATTACCAGGATGAAAAAAGGATACATCATCTTTGCCTCAAGACACAAAAACCCACCACTGAAAGCCTGGAAATAAGAGAACTTTCCCCACAGCAACATTTTTCCTGAAACTTTCTCAGAGTAGAGTATTTATTAATGTAATTGCAATTTACAGTGGCTCACTTGGACTTAAGTATCTTGCTGTAGTGTAGTGTGTTCAAACTACCCAGATCAATTGATGGGGTCTTGTTTACATGGGCACACGTGGCATGTCCAACTATTATCAGGTTAATACAACAGATGCGCATACCAATGTTTAACACCAGTTCTGGGAATAGGGCTGTATGCCAAGAGCAATGCAGAGTAGGACAATGTATTTGTTTTAGATGTGAATTACATTATGTATTCATTCTGAACTACTATAAGGCTGAGCTGCAACACTGTTTTTCCTAAGGATAACTTTAGAATGATGTCATCACCTGCATAAAGTCATGGGAATTGGGAAAGCCTGCTCTATGGCAGGAGATTTGCAACAGCACTGGCAGTAGCTGTGCCTGTTTTGCATATTGACATGCACTGAATCATTAAAGCCCTCTACCCTCTCCAACAAACTAAACCTACATTCTGGGGCAGAGCCGGAGAATCTTTTAACCCTGGCATGAGAGAGAGGAGAGCGAGAAATAGTATCTTTTAAATTAAAAAACTGGTTTCCATTAAATACATAGAACTGATAATGCAGTTACTGCAGAGCCACTAGGTTTGACAGCCAGTCCACTTTCAGTAATGGTTTGGTTTCACACCTTAGACAAGGCCTATGCAAACATTTGAAGTGGTGTGTAGACTTAACCAAAAGTGCCTTTAAAAACTTCGGATGTCAGTAATTGCTATTGTAAAGTTTGCTGTAAGACATGCTTGCTTCTATTATAAAATGTTTTGTGAAAGAAATGTACTGCCTTGATGAAACATGAGATAAAAACATTAACAGTAGCTTAATTGCTTGAGGTCCCATTGACTTTCAATGGGACTTGGGCTTCTAATACTAAAATCCATTTTGGAAATGAGACTTGTGCTCAAGTCACTTTGGGCTAGATCTACAAGCCTTGGTCTTCCAATGTTGAGAAGTATTTGCAGCTGTGAGTTGGATGCTTGGATTCCCTTTGCAACATATGGAAAGAGTTGAATGGCCAAGAAAGGGATGCCTTGTATTTTTTTTAGCTGCTACTCAATCAGGGGGAGGAGGAATTCACTTTTGTGCTATTGTTGGGAGGCAGGGGGGATTCTGTTGCTGTTCCTGATACAGCTGAGAACATTGGGTCACTTCCGTACTACTATACCCAGCTCAGTTTCCTCTGGCAGAATCATGACACTGATATGAAGAAGGCATGATATCAAGTTAAACAGCCATTTGTGATTAGTCTTGCATGATTTTCAAAAGATGTTTGAGCACCATTAGCCTCTTTTCACATTGATAGTGCAGCCACTGCTGCTGAATGGGATATGGAAATGGGCAATACAAAGCTGTTTATGAAATGCCATTAATCTAACTCCTGCTATTTGCTCTGCATTTCCCTCTCAGAGCACACAAGAGGCAAGTTATTTTGATTTTTTTTAAGCTGCTACAGGACCCTATCCACATTAATTTCTCCCCTCTCTACTCCACTTCTCCAGCAATATCATCTGTACTTTTAACATGTTTTTGACCTTTCCATTAAAGCTGGTAGAAAATGGAAACAAGACTAAATGCAAGACCATACTAATGGAATCAGAACTCTGGGTAGAGGTGACTTCTTTTATTAGGCAAACTATCCACCTAGGAGAAATTTTACAATATTTTCATTTTTCTATGCCTTGAAGAAGGGTGAGTGTGCCCAAAAGCTTGCATATATATATATATATTTTGCAAATATTTAGTTGCTCTAATAAAAGATGTCACTTCTATCCAGATTTCTGATCCCATTAGCATGGTCTTGCATTTAGTCTTGTTTCTGTTATCTACCAGCTCTCTAATGGAGAGGTCAGAAAACATTAAAATTACAGATAGCGTTGCTGGGGAAGTGGAATAAAGAGGGAAGACATTATCATGGATAGGTTCCTGTAGCAGCTTTAAAAAATCCAAACAACTTGCCTCTTGTGTATTCTGAGGAGGAAATGCAGAGCAAACAGCAGGAGTTAGATTGCAGTCTTTTGGCAAGCTGCTTTTTGATAGCTGCCATCTTATGCTCTTCAATTTAAGTATCCATTAAAGTTTCTAGTGCTAACCTTACAGCTTTTTCTATGCTGGAGATCGAGCTAACCAATAAAATTGCCTAGTGTAATACTCAAACAGGACTCTCATTAGCAATTGCTGCAGTCACAGGTGACAAGGTTCACACCTTGCTCCCAGAACTAATCCCAGCACCATTATTATGCTCAGGGGCTTCTAGCAGATCTCAAAATGGAGTCAATCAGTAGCAGCTCATTTGAAACTATGGGAGAGGTCAATCTTCTCTGTTTTCTTCCTCAAACCAAAATGAAGATTAGGATGATTGGCTGAAGCACATTTCTTAGAGATAGGATCATCTGTTTAAGCTACTGAGAATTCCCCAGAGAAGCCCAGGAAGGGAGCCTGTGACAAGTGAAGCAGAGCTGCAGTCACCCTCCCCCCAAACTATTCCATCAATATTATTATTCACTCTGGAGAAGAAAAAGCATCAGTAGCTCAGAGAAACCCAGCCGTACCAGATACTTAATCAGCAAGGGGGAAGACTGGCTTGGGGAGGTACTACCAACCCCAGAGGCAGGCAAGGTAATGTGCTGACAAGTGCAGGTAAGTGCATTTAAGAGGAGTAAGGGATTTCAGAAGCTGCACTTCCTCATTAATTTTGAAGTCTCTGATGCAGCTATCCCATTAGCAGCAAGAGAAAGATTAGCTACTAATTTCTGTTGGTAGGATTCTGTTATTGTTACATTCCTGGCTATTTGAGGAACCCAAACAGGTGAATATTTTTAATGGCACTTTTAGGAAGGGTACATATGCTTTCAAGGAAGGAAAATGGTAACACCAAGTGAGTAGACTCCCTCATAAGCAGGGCAAGTTTTGCCATGTAGAATATGGGCAAATTTGTAAAGCCAGACACCATATCTGTAGCACTGTTTCCCCTCAAATTCATGTGTGTGCAGGGAGCAGGGGGTGGAGATATTTAAACATTGTAAAAGACATTCCTCCCAAAAAACCAAGACTTGTATTAGGCTATATGCCCCTGCTTTTCAGCATGGGGAGATCCAAAAACAGGAGTAACTGATTAAAAGATACATTATTGACATTATTAGTCAAAGTAAACTAGTTTAAAAGGTAAATGGCAACAAACATGGGCTGTAATTGTGCAAAGGGTCTACTGCCCCAGGAGAAAGCATAAGTTACTTAGGCTAATGTTGAACTGGAGAGAGAAATTTAGGCTAAATAGCAGAGAAAGATGACAACTTTCAGTTCTTTTGCTTTCTGCTACAGACTGACATTCAGAACAGTTCTGCCCCAGTTGGTTGCAGATAGTTGTATTACCATCCATGCTTAACATGTTAATCAAGAAGTCAGGCTGAAAGCAGCACTATTCAGTATTTTACATTCTTACTATATATCACAAGTCTTTACTCAACACAAGGTATTAAATCAACTTTTATTTTTCATGTTTAAAGTCAGACACGCCTTTTTGTACAGGGATTCTGCCACATCTTTCCAAAACTGGAAAAAGAAACTCAAACCTTTGGCAAATTTCCAGCCTCACCAAGCTTCTAAGGTTTCTGTGTCTATGATAAGAGATGTACTTCATTGTTGCCTAGTAGAACTTCTGGCTTGTAGTTCAGTGACAGCACAGCCAGAGCTGGACATAAGAACTGTTCATTACTGACCTCCCATTCTAGGAGGTACTCTCCTCTGGAAGAATGGGCAGAAAAGCCCTTGACTCCATCTTAGACAGTTGTGGAAATAAGGATTTCGTTCTTAGAACTTCATGCAAGTTCAGAAAAACTCTACTAGCAGAAACCTTGAGTGAAAGGATGGAAATATGTTCACTATTAATACCAAATGAACCCAATTCCCCTAACAGATCTCAGTGAACTTCTCCCAAAATAGTGAACAAATGGGTTTGGAAACTAAAGCAACAGGTACTTGGTGAAGCCCACTTTCCAAAGGTCACACAGCAGGAAACACGAGCTCTCAGTCACTGTAAGCAGAGCTTCATGATCCCAAAAAATGCGACTAGTACCCAGCCTCTTACTGAAAAATGCAGCACTTAAGTAAATGTTCATCCCACAGGACAGCTTCACACTGCTCTGTTCATTGGTCTTAAAAAAAAAGTTACTGAACTATTCTATCCATTTGATCAGCTTTACAAAAACCTGAATACTCTTTCAAAGTTCCAGGGCCAAGATCCTATGCTACCACTTTCCCCTACTGCAGCACTTTTAGACGTGCTGATTTTAGTGAAAAGCCTTTCATTTCTAATAGGAAATGTACTTTAGAAAGTAAGTAACATGAAGCTTCTCAACTCTCAGATGAATTCAGTCACTTAATCCTCACCTGGGGTTTCTCTCTCTCACTGAAAATAGCACCTCCATCACAGAAAACACCTGTAGTACTACTGAATAACAGCAGAGAGACCAAAGTGTAAGACTGATGGCAGCTCTTCTTGTTTCTCAACACTTGGGGAAAAAAAGATGAGGTATTCCTTAGATATGCAGTGCTATTCAAGCAGTAGGAATGGAGTGTAGGCTGTTTGGTGAGGAAAGGGAAAGAAACACAAACAAAACCCTGATGGAGGACACTGCCCACCTGATCACAATGTTATGCAGCTGTAATGGAATGGATAACTTACTGAGTAAGCCAACCACACTGGCAAGGACAGATGTAATGGATGGTAGGGACTGCAAACTGAAGAGCTATTTATGAAGACTAGATAATTGCACCTACTGTACCCTAAAAGGAAACAGTCAGCACAAGGTCTGAGTGCAGCTACCCTCTGGCACAGCCAGTAGAGCAATTGTTCAAGGATTCAGTTCAAAGACTATTCTATTCAAGAGGCTGTTGAACCCATTTAAGTTTTCATGGTTCTCTTCAAGCAGTCCACTGCTTGCAGCCTCTCAAGTCCTCAGCTCAAAGATTTGGTAAAGTGCCAACAACACATTTAACCATTAGAAAAGTAACACCCATATCCTGGAGAAAATTACAGGCCAAAATGGTAAGGCAGCAGTGCACCAGAACAATCATTTAAGGCCAGACAGGAAGCTTTCTTGGTTGAAAAAGCCTCAGGATAGCCACAACTTCCACATTTCTTACTACTGAGACATGTCATCAACAAAGGCATGGGCTCTTCTCTGGACTCTGACTGGCAATTACTGGTCGGGAGTCCAGATAGATGCTGTTGGGAGGATTCTCCCCATGAAGCTGCAAGGTGTTCCTGGCTATCAGCTCCTTTGCCATCAATGTAAACACCTCCTCTATGTTCTGGGCCTCTTTAGCTGAGGTCTCCAATACAGCCAATAGCCCATGCTTCTCAGCAAGTGTGCAGGCATCTTCAAACAGGACCTGGCGCTTATCCACAGCATCAGATTTGTTCCCTTTAAAGAAAAGCAAGAAAACAATGGAATTCTTTATTCCCAGATAAATTTTAAAGATACTTTACAAAGAAAAATTGTTTGAGGAAAAGAATTATGCACAAAGTTACTGGAATGTCAAATATAAACCAAAACTCAAATTAAGTGCATCTAATACCTTTGGCACCAGTAAAGTAAAGGTTACCAATTTATTCTGTCAGTTGCCAATATCCTTTCTCCATCCAATGACTTGTTGTAGGAAAACAAACAGTTCAGGAGCACCAGTGTGGAAAGAATCCACCTGTCATTTTGTAATATATTGGAGGCTGTGCTGACTTAGAGGAAGAGTCATATTAGAATTAGTGTATGTATAGAACTGGATTTTCTTTAATTAGTACTACAGTCACAAAACCAACTGTAAACAAATGTTGCCAAGACAACTTAGTGCACCACACAGAACTTGTTAGTATGATGACATCACCATTAATATTGAAGTCACAATGCTTAAATACAAGCAAGTCATAGTTCTGCTACAAAATAAGACAACTTTGGCCTGCATCCCAAAACCAGAGATATTAGGTGAGTCAGGTCTCTGCGAAAAACAGGAGAGAGACTAATCTTTGGCCTCCAGTAAGGAAAACTACCACATAAGACTCAGATATTAACTTATTAGCACGTGTAAGGTATTTAGACTAAAAAAAAAAAAAAGTCAGACAAAAAAAAAAACAAAAAAACAAACCAACTTATCCTAGTTGTCAGGCATTAAGATCTGGTGTAAAAATTAGAATGTACCTCTAGCTAACAGCAATGTTATAAAATAAAATTCTTTCTCTGCCTGATTGCTCTGACCAGAATGCATTATTTTGCTAGTGATAAGTTTTAACATCTTTGAGCAATTTGGAGAGAGCTTTTCAGCAGATTCCAGTCTTGTGTTGTCAAAAGGCAGCCTTTTTTTTTTTTTTAAATGGGACTGGGTATCTGGTCTGTCTGGGTTACCCTTGCTGTGTTGCTTGCTTGGGGTTGCCAAATCAGCACTTGTGAGGAGTCTGCTGTATACCGTTCCCAGAACATGGCTAAGGTAAGTCCATTTTTCCCTCTTTACAATCTACACAGATATAAAAATCTGAATGTGTTCCTCTTGCTTTTTCAGAGGAGTAATACGATGAACAACTTACCTACTCCATAAATAGGAACAGACTATTTTGAAGCATGCACAAGCAGAGGTCTGTACCCAAACACCTACCATGCTTGGAGCCCAGGCTTGCTCAGTCCCAGGAATAGTTTGGGCTGGCATTCTCCTGTTCTCATCCATACTGCACTCAGCACAGTGCTGGGATCAGGATAGGTAGAAGTGGAAGGTAAAGATGAAGCAAGGAGGCTCATAGATCAAAAAATAACTCAAACAGCAAAGTTAGATTCGTACCAATTAACATAATGACCAAGTTAGCAGCTCCATATTTTTCAATTTCATGAATCCAGTGGGGAATTGATTCAAATGTAGATCTCCTGGTAATGTCATAGGCCAGGATTGCACCATGGGCACTGCGATAATAACTCTGGGTTATTGTCCGAAAGCGCTCCTGGCCTGCTGTATCCCACACCTGAATCTGCAGAAAGAAAGAACAGAAGTGGTAAAGCCCCATGAAGTGCATTCAATAGACTTCAGGGAGATTTTCATTAGAAAGATATGCTGCTTAATACTAGTAGGCCCTGTCCCCTGTAGCTACAGATATTACTTAATCTAGTTTAAAAAAAAAACAAAAAAAAACAACCCCCCCCCCCACCAATTTCTAGATGCATAGAGCCAACAAAAAAAAAAAATTCACATTGTTGCCGTGTTGCAGCAAGCTTTGCTATGCATGTACCTATAACTGAGTTTGGATTGACAAGGAAAAAAAAAAGGGCTCCATCATACCACAACAGGGCTTAGACATCATCCCAAATCAATACAGATAGAAACTGGTCAGCAAACCGGAGCTGAACTGTTAAAGTTTTAAGTGAGCAAGGGAGGAAAAAGAGGAGAGAGAAAGAGCCCCTTGGAGCACAGAAACGGGGTTGGGCAGGGAGAAGGGAAATATGAAACAGCCTGTAACCAA